AGTACGATCCGCTGATGCAAACTTCACCCATGGCAATTTTGCAGAACTCGCGACCACAAGGCAGACCATCGTTGAGTGGATGGGTCTGCACGGGTGTGTGCGTAGCCTGCTCGATTTTCTGGTCGACCTGAAGCGAAGCAATGACAGCAGTACGGCAACTAGCCATCCTAGGAATAAGTGCGGTACGAACCTGGAATTCGAGACAGACACGACCGGGTTCTTGAGGATTCGGCGATTGATCGTAGTATCCTTCACGGCAGCTACAAATGTAGCCATCATCCATGTCCTGGCATTCAGCGTTACGATCGCAGTTGTTCAGATTACTGTCGAGACATTCGTTCAGACGACAGACGCGGCCAGGATGTCCTGCAAAGGAAAGTGCATTTTGAGGAACTTTGATATCTGCGGTAGCTTCAACTAACCGGCAGGACTTTCATCTCGATACGGTGGCTTGCACTTGCAATCATACCCTCCTTCTCTATCAATACACATTGCATTGCGGTCACAATCGTTGAGGTTCGGCGAATCACATTCATTGATAACTGTAATGAAGCAGCTGGAGATCTCTACAAGGACCTTATAACTACGGTAGGACTTACTGTAACTGCACTGGGTTCCTGGGTGAGCCGGATCGTTGTCAAAGTAGCCCTGGCGGCATCGACACTCATAACCGTTCTCTTTGTCAATACACTCCGCAAATCGCGAGCAGGTGTTGAGAGATGGATTTCGGCACTCGTTGATCTGTCTGGTACCTGTAAAGGGAACTAAGTACTTCTGTTTTTTTTTTTTTTGTTTGTTTCTCTGAAAAGGACAGGAAGGCTTTCCCAGACTCACAAACGAACAGGGCGTACGGCTGGCGACTTGTCACCGATATCACGACCAACGACAGTAGCCTTCTCCGCTATCTTCGCAATCGCCAGAAATACAAGTCGTGAGAAGCGTCAAGCATCATATACACGAAAAGATAGGAATAATGGGGAAGAGCATCCACGGTTCCTATGGCTCAGTCGGTCAGAAGTTACTTTCGCACTCAAAGACATTTATTTAAACGAACTGACCATTCGACGCAGAACTTCGACCGCGTCGGGTGTTTGCGGTTCCGGCGATTGGTCGATATAGTCCATCACCCACTGGCAACCTGACTCCGGACCTGACACTATCGCAAAATGCGCCGAATGGCGTCATTTTGCGAAATATACAAATATATTATTCAAGAATGCAAGAAATGAACCCGTATGGAACTTTAGCAGTGCTGTCACTCCTCATGCGCGTGACGCGTACCTCCTTTGAAAGACTGTGGAATGCGAGCTACCATCGTCTCTTATGCTGTACACAGGAATCATTACTGTTGCCCCAAGCCAGAATATCTCACAAGAAGTGCAGCCATGGTTAAGCGCAAATGAAGTACGCGGCCACGCCCTGCCTTTCTTTTGAGATATAAAACATATCTACCAAGTCGCGTAAAATTCGATTTTTAGAATCTTATCTCGTGACAGCAAACTGTAAGCAGTGGCGTTTAAGTATGGAGTGCTAAGGGAGTCGATGGTGAAGAAGGAAGCAGAAACCATCAAAGACCCCTTCAATAAGTCCCTCCCTCCAATTAAATATTTCTAATGGCAATAAAATTTTAAAATTTTATAAAACCTAGGGCATTAAAAACGCAAAAAGAGGAACACTGACTAGAGGCGGAAGTACAGGGATTAAGGATGAGAGAACAGAGAGAAAAGTGAGGTGACAGACACTAACACATGTCAAGCAATGAGCTGGGGGGGGGGGGTGTTGTTAGATCTTCGTCACCAGCCTATTGCGCATTTGTTATACACTTTCTAGCCACGAAAAGGCGCCAATGTCTATTGGAGAACCTGGTAACCTAAAGCTAATCTCTTCTTCGATTTGGTTAACCACGGAATGTGTCTATTATTTTCCTGCTACAAAATGTGTCAGCGCCTAATATCATCTTTTCACACCTTTTATCGAGACAAACGGGCTCCGTAAGAATGCAGAGACGTCCTGGTTTCTTGGGATCAGGCGACTTGTCGACGTATCCCTGGAGGCATTCGCAAGTGTACGACTGCGCTCCAGTAGCTCTACAAGAACCAGCTACATGGCAATCGTTGAGAGTCGGATCTTGGCAGGGATGGCCTGAAAATGAACTTCATGACTGGAGAAGACAGTTTGAAAGCATAAGAAATGAAAAAACTGACGAGGTGGAGGTGTTGGTGGTGGTGGCGGTTCGCAAACTCGTCCAGTAGCGCTGGATCAAGGCGTCGCGATGCCACCTCGAGCACATTCCACGATAGCCCCGGCTTCATCGAGCAGAGTGCATCCGGACAGGTTCAGCTTGGGAACCGGCAGCTTACTGAGAAGACGCGAGGTTTAGCGCTAAAATCGGGATCAAAGAAAAGGCTGGACTCGGACTTACTTCTCACACAGATTCGCCCTCTTTGCCCATTGGGGAGATTGATCGACGTATCCCTGGATGCAGGAGCACTGGTATTTGTTACCTCCCAGAGGCTCACAAACTGCAGCTGAACTGCAGTCGTGATTCGACGGGCACACCTCTGAAACAGTCTCTGTTAGTCAGAAGTTTGACACTTTTGATATTGACGACAAACCTGGCGCACTGCAAACTCGTCCGGGTTGACCAGCAAGGTTAGGTGAACGGTCCACGTATCCCTCGCGGCACTCGCAGGTATAACCTTCTTCGAGGTCACGACAATCCGCTTGAGCACTGCACGTGTGGCGTCCAGTTGAGCACTCATCCACCTGGAAACGTCGGTGAATCTCTTGCAATCTCTCACACCGGGGAGACGGGACAAGAGAATCGTAAATTGCCGCTTCGTCGCGCGCGGACATGGGCGCGACGTTCCTAATTCGCACTACCCTTTCGATTGGAGCATCGGACCTTATGTAGAGAAGGCATGGTAGGCTTTTATGTCTATTTTTTTGGTCATAGTAATTTTCGACCAATACCCTGAAAACGTCGTTATGGCGGGCGCGACGTCGCACGCGACGCCCACTGGCCCGACCAGTTACGATTCTCTTGTCACATACCCTTCAAGAAAGGGTCGAAACTCACCAGCTTCACGCAGACTCGTCCGGGGCGATGCATTTTGTTAGGCGACCTGTCCACGAAGCCTGCGGGACATTCGCATGAGAAGGACTGCTCGTTATCGTGGCAAATGGCCGATTGGTCACAGTCGTGCTTGCCCGTCTCGCATTCGTTCTCAACTGAAAGCTCCCCCATTAAGTGGCAGA